TGCCATAATCCATGCAGGGAAATCCCTTTCCAGTGGAGTGCTGGTAGTGGGGAGCTGCCTGGCAGTATGGATATGCAGTGATCACAGGGATTACTCACTGCACTGAGGCTGTTAAGGTGGATCAGTAATGCAGGTGTGAACCCACGGAGCCTGAAAATCTGGTGATGCAAGAAACCTGATTAGTGACATGTGAGGTGCTGCCACCTCAGTGAGGTCAGATAGTGACTGTGGGAGACTCTTGTGCTACCTGAGAACTGGCCTAGTGTAGAGGGTTTTCACCCTTAAAGAATTAACTCTTACTCAGCAACAGTCTCTTGCAAACATAACTGAATTTGTGTTAAACAGGATCTGATAAGCTGAACACACAGTGTAAGTCTTATTAAGGAATCCATTATAAACCCACTCCTGAGGTTTCTAGCAGCATCCCATGCAATTAAAATATGATGTTTTAGGTAATAGCTGTAGTTGTGAGTTACTTGTTAGAGAGATTTCTCATAGCTCCAGATACAAGAAAAATCAGTGCAGTGTTTTAGCTCAGTGTAACTTGTATAAAGTACAACCCACCATATCCTCTCCTGAATTTTTTGAGCTTTGGCTGCTCTCAGTTTTTCTTCAGAAAAAGGGATGTTTGACTAGATAAATGAGGCCAGGGGGACTTCACTACCACTTCTGAGTTCTTTGCTTGCTCAGGTACATAGGCCTGTTAATGAAGAGATTTTGTAAAAATGAACTAATTTACTACTGCCTTTGTTTTACTCTAGATGGTTTTTCTAGAATTTTTTGAAGCTCTTCTTGAATGTGCATTGGTGTATGTTACTGAGGATATGATCCTGAAGAAAGAAGCTGAAGACAACCAGAAAAGAAGTAGCTTAGAAATCAAGGAGTGCTCCAAGGAAACCTCAGCTGTGTCTCCCACAGAACATTCTCCACCCCAGGTAAGGCTGATGCAGACCTGTTCACTGTTACAATGTGTCCACTGAGAGAGTGAAGTCAGGCCCTGAAAATGTTCTGTTTCCTGACCATGGAAACCAATTTCCCCTTTTTGCATAAACAAATACTTGATTGGGTCCTTCTGCCTTTTCGGTTTATTTGTATCTTAAATTTTAACATCACTGTAGACAGTTTTAACATATTTGCATGTTTTCCTATTTAACTGTAAATACACATAGAGTACTTCTGAAGGGAACTGGCAGATTGGTTGGCTGGTGAAAGATATGTCTGTTCTGCATTGAGCTGAATGTCTAAAATTTTCCTGTAAAAATGGCATTGCAGCTGTTGTGTGTAGCAAGCCTTGCTGCTTGCCAGCAGTTGAGCTGTCATCTTTTTCTTTTTGCTGAACTTCTGAATAAGGATTTTGTAGGTTGTGAGATGCTGCCCGTGACACTGGTGCAATTTGTATATACAGAGTAGTTGAAGACATGAATTAGAATTGTTATTATTTGAAATTATGCACAAGATGGAAGTATTTTTATTAATTCAAGGAGTATTCACAAACATAATTTCACAGCCTCTGTGAGCCAGTAGTGCCACTGTACACCACTACTTCCCATTTTTTGCCCAGTTGTTCCCACCCTATGCACCCATTCCCTTGCAGCATCCCTGCAAGCAGTGACACAGTTGAACAGTGAAGTGGTCCAGTTAAAATAGTAAAAAAAAAAAAAAGAAAAAGAAAAAAAATCTTAATTAAATGTACTGAGGCTAAAATTTTTCATGTGTTACATTTCATTAGTGCAGCAGAAGTATAATTGGTGCAGACATAAATGATGACATTTCCGAGGCAGCTGAGCTGTACACTCAGGAGCAGATGAACAATAGATGAACAATATGTAGAGCAACATGTAAGAACAGAGGAACAGGTCAAAGAACAGGAGCTTTCATTTTCTGTCGTGCTGTCTTCCCCTAGCTCTGAAATAGGATAATCCTGCTTGCCTGGCTGCTATCAATGGAAAAGTGTTAGCTGGTAATACTTGAAAACACTCCTGCAATAGAAATATTTTGAGGTAGGCATGATTGCAGGATGCATTTGGCCGGCAGAATGCTTTGGAGATGGGAATTTGCGTGACTCAAAGGGCCTTGGGATTTCACTTTGTGATTTGAACACAGGCCCAGACATTTAGTAACTGAGTTTAAAACTTCTTGCCAGCCACTGAGACCTTGTGAAGACACAAAGCCTGCTCATCAACCTTCTCTACTGGGTGAGTACTGTATTAAGTGGTTATAAAACTATAAAGTGGCTTGAGCAGATGCTCTTTTTCTGCAACTTTCAAAACAATTAAACAGGAGCTGATCATGGAAATAGGTGATGTATTGCAGTTACAGAGGGCAGCTCCATTCAGTGTGGCAATTATGACAAGGTTTGTTTAGCTTTCCTACCTGCTCTACACAGATGGCTGGGCAAGTTGGAATCTCTGAATTTTCTGTGCTTCTTAATTAGAAGCTATCACTTTTTCCTTAAAAATAGCTTTAAAGGCTTTTAAAACCTTAATTCTTCCTGTTCTGTCCCACTCATATGGGCATGGAAACAGGAGCTTGAACTCTGCATTGTGCCTGCATTAGAAACAAACTTTTCATCATTTCAGAAGTATTTTAACCCAGATCTGACTTTCAGGGCAGGTGACAACCTATATTTGTGCTGAAGATCAAACTTGGAATTTCATGCACAGGATTAAAGGCTGAGTAATTTTCATTTTCTTTCTTTGTAATATCAGAAACTCTTCTCTCATTTCCCATAACTCCTGGAGAAAGCAAAGATGATGTGTCATTGCCCAACAAGGATGTAAAAGAAGAACAAGATTCCTGTCCAGAAAAGGAATTGATAGGTAAAACAGTGCTACTGTTTTAGGACTTAACACACACACACAAATCTCTTGGAGCTCTTGAATTGTGAAGTTTTATTTGTATTGACACATTTCAGCTTGTCACAAGAGGGCAGTAAATGAGCATTAATTCTGGAGGAAGATTTTTTTAAATTTTAAAATATTTTTAAAAAGAAAATGAAACTTTATAATAAAATAAGAATTTAAGTACTGACTTACATAGTTTCCCCAATTTTAAAATGCTATGTTTAATTTGTTGGGCATCTATAAGCTGTAATTTATATTATTCTATGAGAAGCTCAAGCTGCAAGGCTGTCTGTGGAGTGTCTTGGACAAATAAAATGTATTACTGCCATGTCCTGCTGCTTCTACTTAAAATAAGAATTATAATTAGTGGTGTGCCACCACTAGCTGGAATAAGGTGCCTTATGTTAGGACAGACCAACAGTCAGGCAGAAGAGATGTTCAGTAAGAGCACTTTGCTGTGTTGGGGGTTGTAGTTTTCTGTACCATCTTCCTTCCAGCTGATTAGCAGATCCCATCTGGGTTGGTTTTTATGTTTGTTAAATGTTTTCTGCTGCTATAGAGCTCAAATCCAAGGACAGAGTTTGACAAGGATCTTTGCATAGTCATCAGCTCTTTTGCTGCACTCTGATGGGTGAAATGTTACACATCTGAAAAACTGTTTGTTCAGGGCCATCACCTGGGCCTGGGCTGTTTCCTGACAGGACAAGGGACACTGGCACACACCTCTGTCCTTTCAGGTGCTCATGTTTGTTCATCCCTTCCCCCGTGCACAGGAGTCACAGACACTGAACTGTCATCAGGTTACTGCAGAAGACTCTTGTCACAGGATTAAAGGGAAGAGTTCATTGTCTTTTTGTGCCATTCCCAGGGACAAGTCACTGAAGCCTCACAAAAGGGCCACCCCCTTTCAGTTCAAAGTGTCTCACACCTTTCATGCTCTGTACCATGCAGAAGCCAGACCTTCCCTTTGCAGAGTATCAGAGCTGAAATATTGTAGTCCAAAACACATTTGAAATAGAAGTGCCCTGCTAAATAAACATGTTTAATTTACATCTTGCAGATGAAGCAAAAGATAAAGATGAACAAAAGGAGCCATTTAGTTTCTGGATGTGTCAGGTGGAAATCTTTTTCACAACTAAGTTATTCCCTGCTTTTGACCATGAAATAATGCTGAGAGATAAAATACAAGAAAAACAAAAGGAGAATGATGAATTAGCTGAGCTGAGAAAGAGCCAGGCTGAGGAACTGGAACGGTGAGTGTTGAATCTTGTCTGGCAGTACTGTTATCCTTTATCTTCCACTAGCAAAATTATTGAAAATGAGAAGGGTGTTCAAGAAAGTCATATAGCAAAGTGTACCTGGAAAAGTGACTCACACAGGTTTCATTAGTAACATACAGAATGTAACTCGTGCTTTCTGCTACTGGCTGGAGTAACAAATACAGGCTGCTTCGAGGGAACAAACCTAGCTCTGGTATTTCTTGGTATTTGGTTCCTGCTCTGTGTAAAGGCAGTTAAGACATATTTGGACTTGAGGGGGTAATGAGAGACTTTCTGCTTCTCTACACTGTGGCAGTTTATGCTGCTCATGCTATGATTAGAGCTGGAGTTGCTTAGCCAGTGGAAACCTGTCTCCCTTCTCTTACAGTACCTTAAATTCAAATTTTGATCATGCAGACTTATTGCTGAAAAAGAAGAAGAAGAAGAGGCAAGAAGGAAAGCAGCAGCAGCATTACATGAGGATATCAAGCACAGGGAACGAGCCATGTCATCTTGGGAGAAACTCCCCTCCTGGAGAGGTCTCCAGCTGAGAAAAGAGGCCTCCAAAACAGAACCCTCACCAAAGAAAAGAGGCTCACAAGCAGCAGAGCCTGAGGAGAAAGAGGCAGAGAAGGCAGCACCCACAAGTACCAAGGCAACTGCTGACAAAAAGAAAAAGAAATAAATCCTCTGCTGGGAACTACTGAAGCTTCAAGCAAGAACTCTTCAAATAAGAAAAAAAAAAACAAACCAAAACAATCCCAGAAGACCCACACTTGTAGGAAGCTGTAGGAATGGCTCAACTGCATGCACAAGAATTGCTGGTTTCAGAGGGAAACACCAGAGTTTTGGATAAACTAGCAGGAAGTTACACGATGCAAATGAAGTCAGATGTTTCTAAAGTGTAACAATTATTAGTTTTATTTTTCAGCAAAATATTCACATAACATATCAGAATGGAATGGTACAGATGAGTTCAGACTGGTTTTTAGTTAATTTGCACATAAACATTTTTAAAATTTAAAAATTTTATGGTCAGAGTTTACAGATTTTAGTAGAAATTTTGATTCTTACAAAGCAAGTATTGCTTTACTATTGTCATTATTCCAGTCAATAATATGACTAATAACTTCTCATGTTGAACAAGTGCCTGACATTGACATCTTCAATAAATCAGCCCTTTGCAGATCAATCCAAGAAGAAAATGTTATTAAACTGTGTTGCACAAAGTTTCTTCCCTTCTTCTGTTAAAAAAAAAAAACAACAACAAAAAAACCATCAGTATTGTATATTACAGAAACCTCCTCCAGAAAAACCCTGGGGATTGTCAGGGAGAATTTAATAACATTCAAACAGAAAAAGCCCTAAGAGTTTCTAATGTACAATTACACTTAATATTACTCTCTCTTCAGTAGGAGAAAGTCAAGTCTGATGTCTCCCACTGTCTGAAAGTGGTTTAAGTGTAAATGATGTGCCTCTCATCAAACACTGCAACAGCAGCAGACTTGGCTTAACATATAGTTAAGGGAAGTATATTATAACCCCTTTTTCAGAGAAAGGAGGAATCAGGATATTCTGTTACAGTAAATCAAGTCTGCAAAGTTTTTGCTTTGTGTTATTTGGTAGATTGATAAACTTCCTAGGTTTATCAGGCACAGAAACATTCACTGTTTCTGTATGGTAGGTTTGATGCTGAAAGACAGTTATAAGAGAGATTGCCAGGTTACACAACTCTTCCTCTTTTGAAAATGTAGGTTGTTAGGCTTTGGTCCTGGCAAGGTATGAATTCTTTCCCATTGTCCAAGCAAGCACATTGCCTCCTGTTAGAACAGAGAGCCCTAGCATTGCTGCAAGACTCAAACAGATTTTTAGAGAAATAGCAGTGTAAAAGCTTATTGCATCTTCATGTTAATTCTCATTCTTAGTCCTAGTAAATCATTCTCAAAACCATCTTAGAAACAAGACAGCCATGGATGAGGATCACTGACAAGTCAGCCACAATGTGTAAGTAACTAACCCTGGATCACTGACAAACAGATGTAAATATATTCATCTCTCATCTGTAATACACTTTTTAGTTGCACCTAAACTAAGCTCACAGTGCTGTCCTCTATTAATTGAAGGAGGAAGAATGACTGATTAATAATTAAGAATGCCTGCTGAATATTTATGCTGTCCTTTCACAGCTGGTAGTAGGCAGACTAAAACCTTAGGCAAACCCACCTGCTCCATCAAAGATCAGTCCTCTCTAGATTTCTCATGAGCTGGGTTGTATTACTTCTCTAGGGGCACACATTTTAGGAGTAACTGTATTTAAAGGTAGTAAGAAACAATCCTTACCATTAACTTCAATCAGATTTACATTTTTTTGATTCAAAATAACGTATAGTTCTCGCTGGTCAGACTTTTTCCCAACTACCCAGTAATCACTCATTGCCTTCACAATAATTTCCTCGTCTTCATCAACTCTGAAAGAAGTTTTAAAAAGTAAAGAAGGTGGCAGCAAGTTCATCTTCAACAACTTTATCTGTAATCATTAGGACAGCTCAATGTCAGAAATTGTGGTTGTGCAGTATCAAAGAAAACACCAGTTCTAACTTGGCCATCACTCAGTCCAAGTCAAAGGCTTCAGAAATGGCTGCTTAGGACATGCCCACATGTGTCAATCAGTAAGTTTTTCATTAGCCAAACACTGCAGTGAAAACACTGGAGAAAGCACCTCTCCTCCATTCTGGTAAGGACACACTTCACAGAATGAGGATTTGCTCCACAGGGACCAAATACTGAAAGCTGGAGATGGGTTGGTGATACTGAGCTTTCACAGAACTGTTAAACCTAGACCTAAACTATGCTCCACAACTGGATATCTTCTATAAAGCTGTCACTAACCCAGTACTTCCATAACATGATGAAACACACTTTCTTCATTTATAGAAAAATGGAAACCTTGTCCTTAAGCAGAGTGGGAAAACAGCTTGTTGCTAATTACAGTTAGGGGCATCCCAATCATTCAGCATTGTCATGTTCTTTCTTAACTTTGATAATGACAGAGGGTCTCCCCCACCTTGCAGCATGATAGCCTTTGACAAGAAGCCACTTATCTTCTCCATCAGCAGGGCTGCAGTAACTGCAAGGTTTGCATTTCATCCTTTGTCTCACCCCTAGAAACCCCCAGCTGTGCCAGGGCAGGTATGACACAGGCAGAAGCAAGTGTCCCTGTCATTTACATTGCTTTCCCAGATTAGACAGACTCTTGTGCTTCCCATCCCATTTTCTATGACTACTCTGAAGCCTCCAATAGATGAGATATTTTCTTTGATAGAGGCCCTGGCCCTCTTTTAATTTTTTATTTAAAAGGACACTAGAAGATTTTTTTTTTAAGATGGACTACTTCTAACCAACATAAAATACCAAACATGAACAGCCAGCCATCAACAAAAAGACTGGAAAGGGCCACTCCTTTGCAAAGAAAAAAAAATCTGCTTGACAGTAGGAGTTACAGACTATTTAATAGTTAAGCATTACCTGGAGAAGTCACTGTTGATGTCACCGAGAATCTTCATGAGGTCAGGGTGAACAGATGCAAGTGATACACTGGGTGTTTTCCTCATGTGAATGGTACTTTTCTCTGCCAGGTTCATGTGATTGAAATAGATAAACTTAAATTGAGGTTCCTTCTCAGCCCTAGGAAGATTTACAAAGAAAATAAAAGTGATTTGTGGATACCAACGTGCTCTGTAAGCAGAGGCTTCCCAGAGACTGTATAGAAAGCCAGTGCAAAGCTAACTTACACAGCCTGGACTTATCTTCACATTGAAGAGACTTGTGAGATTGAAATTCATTTTAACACACTTAAAAAAACCCCAAAAGACAACTGAGTCTGCAGAACCAGCCAGTATTTCCCCTTCTGCCACTCATGCTGCCAGTAAACACACACAGGGGAGTCTGAAGGCCTTGTCCTACTTCAGAGTAGTAATTAATTTGCATTTTTCTAATGAGCTGTTTTTTCCTGGCCCCATTTTGTTCCTGCTGCTCTCCCTTATGCCAGTCAAAGCTGATCTGAATGGATCCTGGGTCTTTAATTTGAGCAATAAGTCATCTTCTATTCATGTTTTTGTTATTTGTTACAACCAAGAGAACAAACTCTTTCTTGATCCAGGCAATTAGACTTCCCCCCACATCATTTGTGTGGGCCAAGCAAGAGACTATTTTCAAACTCCTGCCTTGGCTGTCTTCCTCCATTTCCTCTTTTATGAAGTTAATATAAAAACCTAGAGCTGTAATTTTTTGTAGAAGACATAACACATTCAGAGTGACCAAAAACTGGCTGCAGCAATTGGTACTTGAGGCAATGCATTATTTAGAAGCAGGAGATACTGTGATGACACTGCTCACCTCAGCAAACAACCAGATACCCCTGCTCTCTGTCACCCACATGCATTAGTGTCAAGGAACTGTATCATGTTTTCAGGACACCATGGCATTAAACTTTTAAAGAGTTAAAGCTGCCAAAGCCAGTCCCAGATGACATTTAAAAAGCCCAAGTTTAATGATTTAGTAGATTGGCACAATTTCAAGTACATCCTATTCTATCCTGTGAGATTTTGCTGATTTGGGATGGTACCACTAACTGAGCTCACTCACACACCTATCTTTGGTTGAATTCTTTTTATGTTGCCATATGGGATGCTGTTCTTGCTTCCCCAACTAACAAATCTCTCAAAAAATAAATGCAATTTTATTGCAAGTCAAGCTGTAGTTCTAAGTGAAAGATATTTTCCAAAGCATTAGCATCCTTTTTCTTTTGACTGCTTTTTGCCCCTCAAGTAATTACCTTAGTTCTGCAAAAGAGAAAAATAAAAGACCTTTTTTTCCTCACCTATTATACATGGCAACACTTCAAGAAGCAGTAATTCTGGAAAAGTCCTCCACAGTAAAGCTTCCACTGCAACCAAGTAACTTACTCACTAAAATTCCCATTTCAGCCAGACAATAAACATTTGTTCCTAAATTAGTAACATCTATTGTAACTTCAGGGAAACCCAAATATGCAATAACGTGCACTTTATAAACACTTAAGATGCAGAAAAGTAGACAAGCATTGCTTTAAGTACACCATTAATGCTTTCAAAATTTGGGCTCATGTTACCATTATTGAAGCAGTTCATTTAACCTAACTTTTCATCAATGAGGGAATGCAGCAGGAAAAGAGGTGTGGTACAAACCCTGATATTCTCTTGTTGATGTTGTATTGTTCACATATGTCTGATGCCAACACCGTGAGCTGAGGCCCGACAATGCTGTCCAGTTTTCTGCAGAACTCCAGTGTGGGTGGAATTGAAGCTGTCAGGCAGAGAAAAGGGAGAGGTGAGATTCTCTTCCCACAGCTGAAGGTACAGTTTCTGTAGTTGTTTTCTTTAAACATCAGCGAGAGTCCAAGGACAAATTTCTCCCACAATTAGAGCCTCAGGGGTGATTTTGAATATGGCTAACTGAAGCAGTATTTAATAATTTTATTGTGTAAAACGAGTTACTTGTACCACTGGAACAAAGATAAAAGACTGATAAAAGCACTCATGATAAAGAGACTCAAATAAGAAATTAATGTGAGTATTTTTCAAGAGTAAAACAAGCTGCATGTCAAAGTATTTTACATATGAAAGTCTTGGCAAATAATGGATGCTAATAGGTACTTACCATCAATCATAAAGCAGACAGCTGCACTCATTGCCTGGAATAAAACAAAAGCAAAAAAGCCATTTACAACAGATTACTTTCTCTAACTCAAATAAATGACAATACTACTGAGAGGTCATACATAAGTGAGAAGAGATTTAAAAACCTTTTTTGAAGGTAACACTTCAATAGGATAACCTTTTTGCAGTCCTGCACAACACAGGTTAGCTCTGATTTTAAAATTCAGCTATGATTTTTAAATTCAGTTAACTGTTAAATTGTAGGGGAAAGAGAAAACTTGGTAAAATGCACTTTATACAAAGATATCTGCAAGAATCTCCCATTTAAGGTGAGAACAAAATATTTTTTGGTTTATTGATTAATTCCATATCAAACAAGGCATGCAATCACTTAAAGCATCTGAAGGCTGGTATTTTGTTTTAGTAAAACAAAATAATTGTTTGTTTTGTACAGAGTACAGGAGAGGGGAGAAGAGAATTCAGGCTTTAAAGCTTGTTGCTAGAAATGCCAGTTTTCTGTCTCTTATAATGCATCTTTCTATACAATTCCTAAATACTTCACATCATTGTCACTTTCACTGCATAGATTCCTAATTTGTGGAGTAACTGCAGAGGAAAATGTAATACCTTATAAACAATTAAGTGAAGCTCTTCGTAAGTGTCATCAGTGTTAACAAATATTTTGGGGAAACGGCATTTTGTTTCTGGATCATTAAGATTTAAAGGTCCAGTAAGAAACCTAGAAAATAATTCAACAGGTCAGATGTGATGAATACTTGTATTTCAGTTTCTTGAATTTAAGAGATGTTTGCCAAACTTGCAATTAGGAGTTCTCCTGATTAAGGATGTCCAAACCCATAATTATGCAAAATAATGTTGCCTCCTTGCTTAAGTACAGAATTCCTCACTGACATGCTGAGTACAGAGGAAGAACAAATAGATAAATCCTAGATTAAACCTACACCTTGTTCTGGAGTGCTTGACTGGAAAGAAATGACTGTAACAATTCCCAAATGTGTCATACAGTGCATTAAGAACAATGGGAAGAAAAATAAATATGCAGTAATTTTAATGAAGCATTTTCTCTTTTTTCCAAGGGTCAAGTTTTACATTGCATCAACTACTGTGCAACCCTCTGGAATGACTGTGTGTGAAATATGTACTCAAAACACACACATTCCTCCCAAATGTTTTGCCCTTGGGAAGAAGCAGTAGATGGTGACAGTAAAACAAGACCTACCTTCCATAGTGTTGGAGATTTCCTGGCATTTCAGCACGTATTGGAGAATCTCTTCCCGCTAACTGAGGGGGAAAAGAAAATACAGGAAAAAACAGCTTAGAGGCAGAGAGAAGAGAGGTTTGTCTTTGGTATTTTTAGTAACAGACAAACAGGAAGAAAAGACCAAAACCACCCAACCACCTTGCCCCTCAAAAGCCCCAGCCCAGCTACCTCAGGCTCCATGTGCCTTGGAAACAGAGACGTTGTGAGATATTTGTACAGAATCCTCATGTCATCTTGCTCCAGTCCACTCCTAGCACATTGTGAGGAAAAAGAACCAAATTACATCTGTGCTGCAGTTCAGATCACACATTTCCCTCTAGCTAGCTCAGATCAATGCCTTTCTTACTGAATGGTATCCTGTTTCATGTTTTCCCATTTTGATCCAACTCTGTCACTAATTTAAAAGCTTCTCTATTATGGCACTTACTCACAGGATTAGAAATTGAAGACACACAAAAGAATTACTGAAGTACCTACCAGATAAGCTGGTCATTGTAGAGAAATGCAGTGTACTTCACTATGTTCAGGCTTTCTTCCATCCTGTTAATAAATGACTGAATTTTCAAGTAAGTCATTTTATCCAGTGGAAAGAAGCTGATTCCACAAAACACATCCAGCAGATCACAAGACTGTAAGTGCAGTGTCTGCAAGTACTGAGAGAACAACAACAGTTGGCTTTTAGAATTCAGAAAACTGCCACGGTGTAGATTTAAATGACAAATTTAAGTCTAATCCTCAACAATCTGGACTTAAAGAAAAAAGAGTCCTTCCAGCACTGCTTGTCTGACACACTCGTTCATGTGGGGACAACTTTTACAAAGGTTTATAGTGACAAGGGTTTTGGGCTGAAGGAGGCTCAGCTGAGGTTAGACATGAGAAAGCAGGTTTTTACAATGAGGGTGCTCACACACTGGCACAGCTTGCCCAGAGATGTGGTGACTGCCCCATCCCTGGAAACATTCATGGCCAGGCTGGACAAAGCTCTGAGCAGTCTGATCTAGTTGAAGATGTCTGCTCATAGCAGGGGGGTGCCCTAGATGACCTTTAAGGGTGTCTTCCAACCCACACCATTCTGTGATCCATATGTCAGTGCATGAATGTGATTCCAGGTGTCACTTTGCTCTTATTTAATCATTATGAAAACAGCTTTTAAGGAAAATTCAAGATCTTATGAGAGTATAAGCAAGCAAAGCCTATCTTACTGATATTTAATTTCAGATTCAGTTGTAGAAATCAGAACAGATGCTTTCAATGTGTAATGGAATAAATAATTTCCATTATTCACTTTCTTGATAGACTGTAACCTCTAGCAAGACATTTCAAACGTGCTGTCAAGTGGTCTGTGGGAGATGCTTTGTCCAATGGCTCCCTCTGCAGTCACTTCACATTACTGAATGCCCACAAGAAATACAGACCTCTGGCACAGCTTGTAAGTCTCTCTGTTTTAGCAATAAAAATTTATTACTTTCTTTTTTGCAAAGGTCTACTTTTAATTTAGTCTGGACAGTAGCACACACCAGCTCATCATGGTACTCCCTGTGCCAATGGTGTTTATTCTGGAGTCTATCACAAGTCTTACAAAAAACAAGCAAGACCCTCCCCAAATCCACAAGCAAAGCCTGTACTTTTGTTTACACTGTCACAACATTGTTCCGTTCTAAAAATCTGTTAAAAGAACAAAATTTTAAACACCATTACACAGTGTCTGCACTCCATCGTTATCAGAGATCTCAATACCACAAAAGCACAAACTGCTGACAGCAGTTCTGTTTCCTGGCTTGCAAACAAGAAAAATGGGGGCAGGCACTTTCCAAGTGTGATGAAACTCCTCATGTAGGAACTCAAAATTCTGCCAGATGAGACTACTCAGTTACTTTATGTGAAAAATAGGTTTTGCCTTTTATCCTTTCACTAAAACATCAGCTATGAAATTACATTCTGAAGACTACTTATAATGCATGCAATATTTCCTGAAGCCTTCTTAGGATTGGCTACTAATGGTGGGGTGGAGCAGGGGGGAGAACTTAAAAAATTCATCTATTCACTATTTCACAGTATAAAAGGACTTTAAGCCTGTGCATGCAGGTTGTGGAATCTCTGCTCCTGGAGGTTTTCAGATCTCAACCACCCAAAGCACTGGGCAGGAGAGTTTAAATTCAGTGTTACCCTGCTTTGAGTAGGAGGCTGAACTGGATGACCTCCCCAAATTCCTTCTAGGGGGGAGAACTTAAAAAATTCATTCACAGTATAAAAGGACTTTAAGCCTGTGCATGCAGGTTGTGGAATCTCTGCTCCTGGAGGTTTTCAGATCTCAACCACCCAAAGCACTGGGCAGGAGAGTTTAAATTCAGTGTTACCCTGCTTTGAGTAGGAGGCTGAACTGGATGACCTCCCCAAATTCCTTCTAACCTCAATGAATCTTCAACAGTCACTGAAATAGGTCTGTACAAACTGTTATCACAGTAACCAATTCAAACATTAAAGCAGAACTTTGAAAGAAGGAACACAATTCCATCAGAAAAAAGATCCAACAGTTAAGTTGTTCCATCAAGTCATGATCACACTTGTGGTTGAACTCCAATTAAAGAAGCTACTCTGTCAGCAAAAGCAGGAAGTATTTGACAAAACGAGTAACCACACACTTTGTGTTGACTCTACATCTTTTCTACGGCCTGTGTTTTACAGTCACATTGCTGCCACTTTTTTTATTTTATTTCCAGTGCAGAATCACAGTATGTGCCTGAAAAATGAGGTCTTACCCGATGGAAGAATTTCTCTAGTCTCTCCTTTAGCACTTTCACACCCCCATCTTCCATGGCTCTCAGGAATGTGCCATTGAAAAGCTAACAGTTTAAAGAGGAAAAGATCAGTTAGTTGGGTAATCATTTACAGTAATTTCTTGTAACTTGGTTATGAATATAGATTAGAACACAACTCCCATTCCTTAACATACTCCAAATCAATCCAAATGTATCCCTTCTTTACTGATAAAACATTTAGATTTGCAGAGGCCAGGTATTAATGGCAGCAGAGGCAAGCATTTATGTGTCATGGAAGTATCTCATGCTCTTGTCTTGTAAAAGGCCTCGAGCCTCCAGTGTTAACCCTACCTTGTACATGCTGTAGCACTGCTGGAGGACTGAACTATAAACCTTGTCCTGCAGGAAAGAGAGCAGCACATCAGTAGGAGCAGAGGCAGAATTACAAGTATTTTGGCTGAGCTACACATAACATGTGTTTTCAAAGAGCCAGCAAAAACACAAATCGGAGAAATCAACCTCTGAAAAGTTAAATGGCACTGTCAGTCAGCATCTAGAAATGTCTCTGTACTTATAAAGGATGATTTCAATAAAGGGAGTCCCTTCCCCCATCACATTTAGTACCAAAAGCACCTTCAGAACTCATGCCAAGGATTCCAGTTACAAACATTGCTCTTCCCTGAGGCCAGTGGTCAGTGAAAATGATCCTCTTTCTGACAGCTCTCTCTTCATCCAAAGCAAAGGTTGAAGAATGTGGGACACTACAGCAGGTTTTATGGGGCTGAGATCTTAACCCAGTCCAAAAAAAGATCATTTTATCTGGCAAAATAGAGTTCCTAGGACTCCAATCCTTTTCTTAGGACACAAGAGAGGAACAAAAGTAATGCACACTGTAATGAACAGGGGCAGGATAACTAACCAGCTTTTTTATTAGTATCCCACCCTTGAACAGACATAATGATTCTGCAGCTTGGACAAGAAATCCCATCATAGTTATGAGCTTTTTTGGTTTTCCAGATTATTAGTAAATATTACTAGCAGTCTTGAGCAAGTAGTGACATGTATACTGGCACCTAATAAAAATACATAGATTTAAGAACTTAATTAAACATACAGATCCTAAGAAATATTCATCTACTCCAAGCTGAAAGTCTCACAGTTGTATATTTCACCAGTGTTTATTGAATGATCTTGACTGTTCTCTGGATAATTCTCTGTCTTGTGCTCTTCTTTAAACTTTACTGAAAAGTACTTTGCCTTTTTCCATTTATGAAGATAGGTATAGATACATATAAAATCAATTTCACAGCAGTTCAAGAAGAATTAAACTAAGATATTTCTGGATGTAAGTACTCTCAAAAATACAACACAACTCACTAAAAAAAAAAGGAAAGTTCATTATTACCAGCAATTCTTCTTCCTGATATTCATAGACTGGCTTTCCATCTTTGTGTTTTTCTATTATGGGATTCCGTACAACCTAGGAAGTGGAACAGGCTGGTATGAGACAATGCAGAATGCATTGACAACATTGCAGGATGGTGTTTTAGGAACATGCATATCACGTGCATAAGTACCATGACCATCCAGAAGTTTTCTTCAGGTTCATGGAAAAACTGTCTATTCTTCTGGGTATGTAGGGATTTTGCAGGTTTTGTTGGGCTAAAGGTCCTGGAAAGAAAACATATAAGTAGATGTAGGTATTTATACACACTCACAACAAGAAGATACATAACTGAGATATTTAAAATACAGTGCTTGTGCCAAAACAATCACCCATGCAGACTTCCTACCTTGTGAACTGCACTATAGCTTCACACAGCCCCACATTTCTAATTTTTTCGTTCTTTTCTACTTCATTTGGGTGATAGAACAGAATCTTCTTTTCTTCCTAAAATTTGAAAAAAGAATCCAAGCAAATGCATCTTAACAAAAATCAAAGAATATTGAGTTCAAGGTTTGCTTGTTTTTTAATCCCTTAATAACCTAGGCAGAATTTTATTTTGTACCAAGATGGGCTTCTGTAATAAGGGATAAAAGGTATATTAAGCACACTTCAGCAGTCAATCATCCCACGATATGTCAAAATACTTTGTAAATTGAAGGCTATTGAGATCACAGGCCCCAGTTACTTCTGGGCCTGTTCAAAGCAAGGCGAGCTTCAAAGGCAGCTCAAAGCATGACAAGCTTCAAAGGCAGCTCAGATTGCTCCAGGCCTTGTCCAGTCATGTGTTCAATACCTCCAGAGATGGGAATCCCACAACTTTCCAGCCCTGCTCTGATGTTGGATCACTTCACCGTGAAGGATTTTTTTTCTATCTCATCAGAATTTCCCTCCATCCATCCTCATTCTTTCACTTCAAGAACCAAACTCCATCACCTACCACCACCCTTCAGGCAGGTGAGACTGCTCTCTGCCCCCTTCCACACTGCCTCTCCTCCAGGCTGCACAAATGCAGTTATCAAAGGCTCCTCTGCTACGCCACAGACTGCACCCCCTGACTGACTCAGGGGTTCTCCACTAGGCTATTTCAGTTTGCCAGTATTTTTCCTACTCTGGGATCCCCTGGAAGAACACAGCACCCAGTAGTAACCTCACACGTGCCGGACAGAGGGGAAGCATTGGCTCGGCTGGACCTGCTGAGCCACCCTCCCTGCCTCCCGCAGCCACAAGGCTCGCTGCTGATTCACGCAGGACCTGCTGCTCACAGACTCCCTGCTCCTGTTCTGCAGAGCTGCTCCCAGCCAGCCCACCCCGACCCGCCTCGGTGAGCCGGGTTTTTCCGCCCCACACACGGGGCTCTGCCGAGCTCGGGAGGCTCCTGCCGGCCCGGTCCCCTGCCCGCTGGGTCCCTCCGAGCCGCACCGCATCCAACAGCACAACAACAGCTCCTCCGGTCTGGAGTCCCCGGAGCGAGCCGGGAGTATGTAAGTACACTGCTCTGTTCAGAAACTGCTAAAGCTGGGCATGACACTACAGCTGTCACCTAGAGCTTCTTCACTCTCCTTACCAAGGGACACAGTGAATAAACACCAGCAGTAATTTGACTGTAACTAAGTTACACAGTAACCTTTCTACCATATTGTATCTACGTCGAGAAAGTTCTTTTTAGACAAAGTTGAAGCATCAGTAAAACAGTTGCTGACTGTCCAGCTCCCCATCTACAACCTAGGCCCGGCTCTGACAACACCTCTGGTTACTGTTTGGTCACTCGGAAGCAGTGACAGACCCCAGTGGGGGCGGCAGCGGTGCCCGGCCCCGCGGGTTCCCAGATGCCGGGCAGGGATGCGGGGCCGCGGGCCGGGGAAGGCGCAGCTGCCACCGCCTCTGTCCGGGCCGCTCCGCAGGGACAGCGCCTCGGGCACGCACGGACCGCCGCGCCCTCCCCGCACCCCCGGGCGCCACGTCCCCCCGGTACCTCTCCCTCTTTGGGCCCCAGCTTGGGGTTGTAGATGAAGAAACTGAGAAGGGTCGGAGCGAGCTGCTTCTCCTGGCCGGCCGCCCCTGCCGCCGCCATCCTGAGCCTGGGGCCGGCAGCCGCCAGACACCATCGGGAATCGGCCCGAGGCCGCCGCGGCACCGGCACCGGCCCCGGAGCGAGCTGCTTCTCCTGGCCGGCCGCCCCTGCCGCCGCCATCCTGAGCCTGGGGCCGGCAGCCGCCAGACACCATCGGGAATCGGCCCGAGGCCGCCGCGGCACCGGCACCGGC